TTTGAGGAGAAAATAATTAATTACATCGTGAAGAGAAACACGTTTCAAAATTTTAAAATTAAGTTCAATACCAGAAATTTTCTGTTTTAATCAATAATTATCGTGATAACACAAATTTATCGATTTATGAGAAAAATCGAGAACCATAAGTCGGCTGGTCCTTCAAATGGATTGTTAAATGCTGTTGGTCTACATGATTTTAAGTAATTTTGTTTATTGTATGTATGTCATTTATGTTTATTTAATTGCCTTGCTAAGCTGAGCAATAAAAAGATCAAGAAAATAATTTAGGAGCGCTCAAGTATTATGTTTTGCCCATGTTAAAGTCTAGTGATTCGACAGGTCCGTGAATTTCAACAAGTCTTGAAAAAATTGAACGTTAAATAGGTCCTGAAAAAGTAGGAAAGTATTCAAGCAGGTAATAAATAGTGAGAGCCGTGTCTACCAGCAGCCTGATCATTGAAACTATGTCAGCTTGACAAGACAAGACATAGCTCTATCTTTACCATGCAATTTATCGCTTCTCTATGTCTTATTGGGTGGTTTCAAACCTTCAATAATCGACCCGCAGGACAGCCATTCAGCAATTGTTTTGTCCTGTAGTGGTTCAGATAGTGGCTTCTCCAAATATGTTTCTGCGTATAATCCATCATGGAATATTTCTTTTGAACAGTCCCAGGCCTAGACTTTAAGACTGATAATGCCTTTAAAAGGAAGCACAATTTTTTCCATTTATTAATTTAGTTTAAGGTTCTTTTTGAGTTTCGAAGTGTGAAAGGTTTTCCAGAGCCATCAAATGGCTTTTCGGTCAAACGTTTTTCTTCTCCAAAGCTGAAAAACAATTTATTTTATGTTGTTGTGAGTAGGCGTTTTCTAGCTCAGCGCAAAATATTTTTTGCCTTCAAATCTACAAAGGAAAGAACAATTTATTTTTTGTGTTATGATTTGGCATATTCTATTCTCTTGATCAAATTTAAGCCCAAAAAATTCGAAGTATGATGCAGCTTATTGCTTCTATTGTAATCCTCCACAAGTTTCAATTGGATTTTTCTAATAGCATGAATTTTTATCTCTCTATTGGCCACGAAAGAGGAGCAAGGTCCATATTTTGTGAACAATCACTTTTTAGTTTATATATTTGATTTATGTGTTTATTTATTCAATTTTTCTCCAAGATTTTTGGTGCTACTTGAACTTCATTGCTTGCTTTACTATGTTAGGCATTGTTACAAATTTGAGCATAAATTTCAGTCCAGGTGATGATAGACTGAGCCTTATACTTCTGAGAAAGAGAATAGCACTGCTATTAATTTTTGAAGGGCTTATTTAGAATAAGCATGAAATACAAAAATTGAATTGGCCGTTTAAGAAAGAGCTTTTAAATGATACATTTTGGTCCCTGCAACTTTTTCTGAACTTGCTCGTTCTCTAAGAAAGTCAAAGTAACTTGGCTGCTCAGAAGTCCAAGGTGGCTTTCTTCACTCTGGGGCACATATTCATTGAGACAAAATAGGAGTTAATGAAATTTCTTTAGTGAACCATCTGTGGCGATCATTCAAAATCTATTCGTATTTATTTTTGCATTGAAAGGTTACAAATTTAACCAATCCTTTATCAGTATTATCTAAGCCGTGTTGGTGGTTTATTCAATGTCGAATTGTAAGAGTCCCTCAAATATGTATCTATGGTGAAATCGGAAGAACTTGCATCTTGGTTTAAGACCACTTAATTATTAGCCAATCAATGAAAATTACTAAGGAGAATTATCTGTCCTAGTACCCGGTGAATTTGATCATAACAAAATAATATATGTAGAACGTAAATTTTATGAATAACACTCTGCTAATTGGAAGAAAGTTTCCTGAAAAATGTTTTTCTGTAAAGAGTGTTAAATTTATTTTCAGTACCAGGAATTGCCAGATTCCATGAGGTATTTGCCCGAGAATTTTTAGCTTTCTTTTCTTTTCTATGTATCGTTTTTGATGAAAGCTTACAGTGATCTTACAAAGTTCTATTTTTCTAGTCCCCTCTACCGTTCTTCCCTTTTATAATCTTAAGTATCGATGCTTGAACTCAAAAACCAACAAATGGTCGTAAAGACGAACTACCTTTCCTCTAATCAAATAGTATTATGAATCAAAGTGTATGACTTTAAAAATTAATTAAATTCCAACTTTTATTGGCAATGTACTTATACATCATAAAAAGTAACCATATTTTATTATTGTAAACTGTTATATCATTGAAATATATATCGAGAATATTTGTTGCAATTTTGCTGTTTCTTTGACTTCATCGGTGTTCTCAGGTCAGGGAAGTTGATACGTTACCAAATTTGGCTTCATTCCTTGCAACAGATTTCCTCTACACCAAACCAAGTCTTGATTTTTTATCTTCAATTTTTGCCTAGTCAGTTGCTTTGAACATTCCTTTCCTTCTTTCGTTCTTTGGATTTAAAATAATCGGCGATTTCATTCTTTTTAATGTTAGTGCCTCGTGCAAGATGACACTGACAGCTTTGGTGTCAGTATTCTTCAAATTTTATCTCTATCACGCTTTTTAACAATTTTTTTAAGTTTATTGCAACTTTGCACTTTTGTTTTATAAAATTCTCTCAAAATCCAATTTTTTTTAAATATCTTTTTTTATTTTTATTTTACGTTGGGACTACATTTGGACCAAGTTAAGCAGATACGCATCAAGTCGCAGTTCGGAAAGAAAAGAATTGGGCGTAATTTTGAATTTGATTAGGTGTAAATTTTCTCTTAATATCAATTTAAAGTCGCAATGAACACTTTGAATGTAAAAATATCCATCAAACTTTGTTCGTAACATGGTTTCTTATGGAGCAATAAAACTTTAAGCCTCTGTCTCTCATTTCAAATGCGATGCAACTTGGTGTAGTTTTGTTAGAGCTGGTCCATTTTCTCTCTCTTTTTTTACAGAAGGGAAGCAAAATTTTATCACACTATAAAAATATTTTTGATTGACTGGACGTATTTCTGTCAAACGGAACTTAGCGCCAGTTTGAGTTCCTTTTGAAGAATTTAGAATCCCGGATAGCGCGTTCTGTCAAACAGAACTAAGTGCCATGGAAAAGCATTGCGAGTATAGGAACGAATGAATCCAGCGCCCGGTTCCGCCGCCAATCCAAGCCCCCCTCTACCTTCCTCCCACGATGGTGCTTAGTTCCATTCAACAGAAATACGTCCAACTAATGGACCTGCTTTCCTGTGCGAGACCCATTAAATGAAACAATTACCAAGCAAAGTCATAAATGACCGCCAACATCTACAACTAAGCATTTTTCAGCACTTTTAATTAGTAGTTTGTCACTTTAAGTCCTATTTTGCAGAAGTTTGTGTAATATATGTATGTTATAAATACACTAGAACTTAAGGGAAAGACCCAGAAAAGCCTTCTCAGACTTTTTTGGTTTTTAGTTCATCCAGTGCAATCTGCTGTCAGATCTGCTGAAATCTTTCATTATCCCACTAAAATATTAAAGTACAAGGGTGGTTATTGGGTTAGAGGCACATGTCACAGAATTTTATCTTGATAAATAAATCCTAGTCTACTTATTAACAGCAAATCTGCTGAAACGAGCATTTCAGTTTACAGCGTTGCAAACCTCCTGCCATATTTTATTTTCTACGTGGAAAACATTGTCATTTCTTTGAAACTTCGGTGATATTTCTTCTCCTATGTGAGGAATTATTGGTGAAAATTTCAAGTCATGATATCGGTTTAGTCTCCTTTTAAAAAATAAAATAGAAGCAAAGATTTTGAAACATGCAAACGGGATAAGCATTTTTGTAGTTTCACCGTCAATATGGCCCGCACTGTAGAAAGTGCCTGAGTCAGTGATTGGCTCATGGTATTTTGTAAGGGTTAAAACTTATAGGCTCATTGCTTCATTCATGCAACGCGGGCTGGCCAAAGCCAATCAACCCCTTCGCATGAGATTGAGCCACTCGCTTCCACTTCTTATGGCGTGAGCTAAAACAAAAAGGATTAAGATCAGTCCAAGAACAATGCAAAATAGTAACATAGGTATCGCTGGTCAATTAATACGATTTATAATGTCATCCTTCACAGTTAGGCATACAGTAATTTCTCCCAGCTTGATCTTATCTGTGATGTATCTTGATTTTATTGCACATTAACTGTTGTTAATGAATGTAGAAATTTGAGTTCAATCAGTTCTGAAAAGTATTTGATGATTCTCAAAAAAGAACCAAAAAAACATTCCAACCCATTTTTTTGGAGAGTCTTTTCAGCATTTTGTGCCAGCCAAGAACAGTAAAAAAAATACAGTTGCAGAATCCCTGTGTTGGAACCTTGAAAAGTGTACTACCGCCCATATCACAAACGCTATAACCACAATCAAGATTTGCATTTTTCTTTCATACGCACTGATCTTCTGCAATAAATTCTGATTTTCATTATGCTTCATTTTGTCAGGATGAGCTCTTAGTGGTAAATCGTATTTATTCTAAAATTATGAGGAGTAAATGTTCTTTGGTTTTCCGGTATTGAAAAATTTTGCAGTAAAAAAAGAGGGTGTCTACCTTCAGTGAAAACCAGAAAGTATTAGAAAATTCTATAGCATCAAGAAAATATCAGAAAATTCCAAGTGCGTCAAGCATTTTTTAACTATCTGCAGTGTAGCACATGCAAAAGTAAAACAATTGATTCAATTCATCAAAGATGTTGGCTTGTGAAGTCAACCAAGAGTCAATTTATCAGCGCCAAAAATCAGGAAATTTTATTCACATTTTTTTAAAAACATCAGAAAAATCTGCACAGAAATTCAAGTAGAGCCCCTGAAAAATTGAAAAAACCTAGAATAGAGTTATGGTGTTTTTGCTGCGTACGGCAGTGTAGGTAACAGGTGCTGAAATATCGAACCAACAATTTTATTAATTTTATTCTGGTATTCTTCAAAATATTTTAATATAGCTCCGTTAATGTTTCCCCTTGAATTTATTTTTGAACAGATGATCGATGCCCAACGAAAGATAAATGGCGGGAACACACAAAGCTCTACAAGTCTGTCATCTTGGAGCAAGCCGAGGATTCCGCTCAGGAGATGTCGCACGATGTCTACCAGTCAGAGAGTGGTTCTGCGGATAAGCTCATTTCAGCGAGTAACTCACCGCCTTTTGTAAGAGCGCCTCTGGAAGACCGATCGAAATACGAGAAATTGACTTTCAACAAGTACGACTTCTCGGACTCGGAGGATAGTGATAACTTAGAAGGTATTTATCCAGTCTCTCATGATCCTCTTTGTATCCACGTTTCTGAGTCAATGGAGATGTTGCATGTGTGAGGGATTTGCGATTTGACCATTCATTCTTGTGTAAAAGTTCGCGAGAAACACGATGGTGCCACTGGTTTTCTCTGAAATCATCTCCCAAGCTCAAAAAAAACTCTCAACTTGAGGCCAAAATGGAGGGGACATCCCACCCTACCCTGAGAGTCCACCTCTACATCAAAACAAACTCTCCATGCAAAGATAGGGAGCAAATACATTAGCAGGTTTGCCGTGCTTTCAGTTTAAGAGTCCCCAAATAAGGTGGCAGCCCTGTCAATGTATTTGCTCCCTATCTTTGCATGGAGAGATTGTTTTGATGTAGAGGTGGACTCTCAGGGTAGGGTGGGATATCCCCTCCATTTTGGCCTCACTTTGAGAGCTTTTTTTGAGCTAGGGAGATGATTTCAGAGAAAACCAGTGGCACCATCGTGTTTCTCGCAAACTTTTACATAAGAATCAACAGTCAAATTGCAAATTCCTCACACATGCAACATCTCCATTATCTCAGCCACTCATGGATCGAATCTAAAAAACTTTTGCTTTATTTTAAGGCATGGGGTCTTGAATTGGAAAAAACTGGGAATAATCGGGATTTATCAGGGAATTAAATGAAAAAAAAAAAATACTAAGAAGTGGCCCGAACTGTTTGTAACAAGGTGGAGAAATGGTGCTGGGTCCACACCATTTCGCAGGGAAAACAAAGCCAAGAATTTCCAAAAATGTTTAGAGTCAAAATTAAATTTGTTGAACTCTAATGCGTACCAGTACAAAACTGAGGGAAAGATTGTTCAGCTCAGACAGTTTGCATAGGAATATTAAGTTGGAGTCACGCCGAGAGATCTATACCAGTTTGGGCCTTTTTAGACCTCATCAGTAGATCACCCTCGGCAGTGAACCCAACTTAACATGCCGCAAAATCCAAGACGGCATTAAAACGCTGTCATGGATATGACCCAAGGCATGACACAAAAGTGTAATCCTTGCGCCATCTACCGTCGTTGCTGAACAACTCTCATAACAAAACAAGGAAAATCCGAAAAAATGATTGTCATGCTCAGTTTCGTACTGGTAGGCATTGGAGTTCCAAAGATTTAATTTTTACTTTAATTATAATTTTTGGAAATTCTTGGTTTTGTTTTCTCCTCGAAATGGTCAGGGAATTGAATTAATTGTTAAATCATTTAAAAAGTCAGGGAACCTGCTCTAAAAACCGGTGATCTCTTCTTCCACTGCTTAGAGTTTATGTTATTGCATCTGAGCCACCATTATTGACCTCTGACATAGCCTATGGATATCTTCAAATCATCAGAATAGTAGAGAAGCTTTCATTGATCAAATAATACAAACATCAGGAACGCCTTTGGAATTAAAAATTCCAATTTGCATCAAAGAATTGACTTAAGGATGAAAAAATAATTCAATAATCGCATCTGGAACTCCAGAGAATTATTTAGTTACTCCCAAAGAAATCCAGGGAAGTTAGAGAAAACTTTAGTTTCTCATCACTCATCAGGGAATGAGTGCCTATTAATCAGGGAATGAGCATGATCAAGAATTCCAGTCACTGTGTCTTAAGCTGAGTTTACGACCATCAAAACGTGTCTACTAGATTTTTGCTCGTCTAATGTAGGTGGAGATGAAAACATCGAGAAATGTACGGGATCATGGGGATCCATGTAGCTTTGTTGCCCATCTTACTTAAACCTTTCAATTACCTTGAGAATATTACTGAATTTTTAATAGCCAATGAAAATTAAATAGGATGCTTCATGTGAAGGCAAGCAAAATTTTAATCAAGGTGTCTACCGGTCTGAAAATAGGGAATTGGTGAGGAATTATATCAGGTTAGAGAAAAGTCAGGGAATTTTATGAAGAATATTTGAAATTTGAAACATTTTGAAACTTAAAATTTTAAGAAAATCAGCCCTGTCTGCCTAATCAAACTATGTATCAATGGGGTGCTGTGTCCAGTGCAGTGAGTTACCCTGTTAGTAAGAGGGAATAGGAAAGAGGTATAGTTCTCTATAAGGCATGGCAAATTTAGTTAATTGAATGATTTATAGACGAAACAAAGGCTCACATTTTACTCGTAATTGCAGTGCAATCAATGCTAAATATTTTCCATTTCCAGTTCTACACATTCTAATTGTTCATGTGGAAAGTCAGGAAATAGCGTTAATTCTGGTCAGGTAAAACCTGGAAAAGTCAGGAAATTTTATCCTCCAAGATTGTAGACACCCTGCTAATACTTGCGCTGAATGTTTTCTTCCAGAAAATGAAAAAGGCTCCAGAGTCCGCAAGAAAAAACCATCAGATATCCTGAACGAAGGGCGCAAGAAGCTTTCGGAACTCTCAAAATCAGCTAGCCGCAGGTCCGGGAAAAAGACTGGCTCGAAAAAACCAAAAGCATCCCATCGCAATCAGGTGAACGTCTCCGAAAAACATGAAGAGTCTGACGATTCCATTGGTTCGGCAAGTGACCTCCGCGCTCGAGAGGAGGAGGAAGACGGAGAAGAGGATCGCCATTCAGAAACCGTGACCATAAATGACTCGGTCATGACCTGCGGATCGTCAGCATATCATGCCGAGTGTGAGTCCATGGCACGAGAAGAAACCATCTCCAACATTAAACCGATGGCCAGGCTGGAAGAGGTTGCTGAACCTGAAAATGTTGACTTGCTCTTGGGTCACTCCTACGGCTCGAAACCACTTCTTCTTGACGATGAATTGGACGATGAAGGTGATGGAGACGAAAATGGTGACACCGATGGAAACCAGTCATCACCACCTTTATTAATAGATATAAATGATGATGTGGACGTCTTTGCCTTAGCACCCTTTCCGTATAAGTCACCCAGAAGGCAGGAGAAACCAAAGGTGGAGACATCACCGCCTCTTTTAATTAATATCTCGCCAAAAACATCTCCCTCTTTCCCGCAGCTAGATTCTAGTTACGTGACCCAAATTCCTCTCATTTTCAATTACCAAAATGTTAACTCCTTGAGTCAATCAGACACCCAGTCGCTACCTGTGAATATAAACGAGACTTTGGAGAATTTTTACTCCCAGGAACGGGGCGATTTCGTAACGACCAGTTTCACATCCGCTGCCAACACAACCGCAACTTTTAGTTTTGCAACAAACTCTGTCGCTAGTAGTCAAGCAAATAACCCATTTTTAACGCATGTAGACAATTTTTCGCTAGGCACGGAACAGAAACCCAACGGTGCAGTAGAAAATAATTATGCAAGGGAAAATTCTTTTGTAGACAGGGAGAGCTTTAGCAACTGTGATACTCCGCATTCGACGTACCAGAACTTGCCTGGTGGCGATTTTGTATCCAAGAGCTCTGATGTATTCGGTTTTGTTCCTTTTGACAGCATCGCCTCGTCACATTCCAATATTCCTGTTCAGAGTCTCATGACCAACACTATCTCTAGGACTAAGTCGGATGTGTCTTGCAATTTTCCTTTCAAAAATCCAATCGCTAGTGAAACAGAGCAACATCGAAAAACCAGCGACCCAAACACATCCCTCAGTGGATTGGAGACTAAGTTTTTGACGGTTGCTGAGAAAAAAAAAGCCCTGGTTTCTCCCATCAAAATGCGCTCATCGAAAAAGCTGTCTAAGAAAATTGCTCAGTCGTCCAAAAATATTTGTTTCAGCAATATGAGTTTCGAAGATTTTTCAAATGATGAAGCTAACTGTCAGACCACTGAGCCCATCCCTTTTGAGGTTGTGAGGTTATCTAACGAAGATGAAACGTACGCTGAGTCAGTTAACAAATTTGGGTCCCTGAAAAGGCGAAGTAATCCATTTTCATGAGAATGAGTAAGCTTATTGAGTGAGTTTTAACCTGATATTTGAGTCCGTGTGAGTATTAGGCTCAAATATTTAAGTTTGTAAGAGTGAGTCGTGTCTTATTTAATAAAATAAGTAAGACTAATTTTTTTTTTCTTTATAAAATTGTAGCATTTTCTCCAAAGAAATCAGTATTTTAATGTAATTAGTAATCACTGATTGCTGTTAATGTTTTATGAAATTTTATTCTAGGTTGGTCTGTATTGTTGAGTGCCGTTGAAAACTAATGTACCCAAAATTTTAAATCTCAAATTGTGTTTCGAATGTTTGTCATGAATCAGCCCTGTAAAAAAAACTTTCTCTGAAACCTCTCCTTAATTTATGAAGTTATGTTTTTCTGAAGCTCAAAACGAATGTTGAATCATGAATCTGAATCTTTCCACATGTTTTGTTAACCTATCCAAACCGTTTGGCTTTCAACCAGATATTTTCTCTTGAGTGAAAAATTTGTCCTCATTCTGGTAATTGAGACCCTTGTTGTGACTTTCTAAGTAAAAAAAAGGCTGTCGTTCTCAGAGCAATATTTAGGAAGGAATTGATTTTTTCCTTAGATCGGCTGTAAAATTTTGCCCATGAGTCTCAAGAATAGCCCCTTAATTAAAATGAAAGACGTCTCTGGTGATTGTTTGTTGTGTCAAAGAAAAGTGTCCTAGTGTATCTGAACTCGTAAATATTGACCTCTGGACATTAAGAAGCAAATCTCAACAACGCTTGAAAAGTTTGATTTTTCAACTCGAAACCTGAAACTTTCATGCCTTTATCTTTGAAATTGAAATTATTTTTTGGCAATAAAATCTTGACTTTAATTTTATGGGCAAAGAGGAGGATGCTTGTAATATCTTTATGTAACAGGTGGTATACTTTTCTGTTTTTTAGCCTTCTATCCTTCTGTATACGACATGGGAAACACAAACCTGGACCCTCTTTTAATTTTCATCAGTTTTTCAATGAAATTTGGCCCAAAAATATTGTTCCTCTCAAATGCGAAAAAAATTGAAATCGCAAAATATTTTTAACCAAAATTTTACTTAACTCGGAGCTTCTGATGCGTCTCCCAAGGTCCTTTTTTTTAGTCTCTCATTATCAGTGTAGAAGGTATGCCGAAAATTTGAGTGTAGTTACATATTTTGTTAACGATGATTTTCAATAATGAGTAGTAATTAATTTCAATCATGATTTTTTTAATCTGTAATTTTAAATCTGCATTGCAGAAATGATCTTCATGCGTGTTGATTCACAATGAATAATCCCGATCCTTACTTTGATCTTTGTTATTTAATTTTATTTGTCGTTATGCTCTCCCCTGATCAATGTACTTACGTTTTGTCAGAATGATTGTTGCTAACTTCGTGGTTGTTTCTATTCAGAATGTCATTTTACCATAGTATTATTTCCCTGCTACGAATTGTTTTATTGAGGTGAATCTTTTGTGGAAGTAAACAGAGACCGATTTGTAGAGCACATATTGACGTATTTCATGTTCTGTTTCAATTCAGCTGTTTAAAACTCTAGTATTTGTGATCTTACACACAAATGCCACTTGTAAGTTTGCGAAAAACTTCCGGTGCTATTGCTTTCATCTAAAATGAACTCCTAAACTGTTATAAAGATCTCAGAGTGAAGGCTGTAATAATGATTTCAAACTTAATTGTAGAAACATTCGCCTCCCTGTCCGCTGTCAGTCCATTGTCATTTCTTCATCTTCCACTGGAAGGAGCTCATCCGCGCTGTTTCAATATTTCTTCAAACATTTTATTTTTTTCATGGGAGAACTGTCCCTCGTATTTGTTTGAAAATTTTTGAGTATTTTCTCATAAGTGTAGGAATAAGTCACTGAAAATTTCAGGCCAATTTATGTGACAGTTCTTCTATCAAAAAATCAAATGTTATTAAGAAACAAAACAAATGAGATACATTCCTTTCCAATATTGTGTTTAGTATAACCATGAAAGTTCCAAGTTTGAGGGCTTTCTGAAAGCGTAAGAGTGGATATTTGATGCATATCTTGGGACCATACTGTTTCTTTCAAACTTTTACGTAAAATTATGTAATGAAATCATGTATCCCTTGACCGTCATTTTCTGGGAGAAAATCAATCTTTTTTATTTAGACTCTTTAGAGGATTACTTCAGTTGCTTATTCTGTGTCAGAGAATTCCTTTGTAAATTAAACTTTAGAGTTGAATGGAAGAAATCTCTGAAGTCTCGCCTTGTGTCGTCAAATTAAATGTAAACGTCAATGTTTTTATTAATTTTCTCTTTACATTTTTGAACATTTTTCCAAAGAATAGACAGTTGAAGTGTGTCTTAGAGAATATCAGATCTGCTTTTTGAAAAAGTCAGAAGATTAATCAGTATCGCAATGAAATGGGTTTTGTACCTTGGGTTTTTTATACCCTCTCTTTTTAATAATGAATCCAGAACTTCTTCAGTGCACAGAAGGTGTTTTGCTCTTCGGTGGATTTATTCAAATTCTAAGCTGAATTTTTGACAACTTCCCCGGTTATGATGTATGTTTTACTGATTCTAATCAGTCTTTTGTGAATTTTTTACAAGTGTATTGCAAAATATTTAAATTGTGCTCAAAACTGGTCCGGTCAAAATTAGTCGCTTCAGGGTTAGCAATCGCTGAACTTGATCCAAGCAATGAAAAAGAAAGATGCTTTATTTTTTATATCAAGCATTTTTGAAGAGCAATTATCTCATCAAGCATTTAGTCACAAAACTTGTTTTTCCTTTTTTTTTTAAAAAAAAACTGAAAAAACCAAATCTCTTTTTGTTTTTAAATTCTTGTAATTTTAAACCTTAGTCCAAATTTTAACTTCACCTTAATCTCAATCCAGTGATAGCTTTTTAGGGAGAGTTGCAAATCTGTGATGAAAATTTTAGTGTTATTCTCTTAGGCCCAAATTTTGTTGCTACGGTCGACTGCAAGCTGTGAAACCTAATCTCTAGTTAGGACTTTAAGTCGGGAAAGTTACATTACAAACTCAAGCTGTACGAAAATTAAGCCTCAGTTCCTCAACGGTGTAAACCATTAATCAACGATCGATTAACGAAGTCGGCATTCTTGCCTCAACTTGCGACTGACTTCAAATCTGCCAACAAAATTTGGGCCTTGCATGTTAAATACCTTTTTCCAAAGTATTTGCCCTCAGTCAAATTCTCAAAATTTACAAAAAATAATGTAGATACCCTAACCAACGAATATAAAAAATTTACTTACGTTGTAGACAATACTGTATTTTGATTTTTGTAAATGGAGGTACGCCGCTCTTGCATAGTTGTCCTCTCTATGATTAATTATTATCTTATGTGTAACTGCTTCTCAAAAGTGGTTCAAATCTTCCTTTTAGTTTTATTTTATCATCTTTTTGCTTTTTGATTTCATTTTTGAGTGAATTCCACTCATTTTCCTGTTCAGGTAGAAGCAAGATGTCTATGAACTTTAAATGCCTACAAATTTACAATGTTTAGTGTTATGAATGTAGCAATTATTTCTCTTTTTTTAACACTCTTCTGTTTTACTTCATTTCAAAAGAAGTGAAAATCTTGAAAACGGCTCAGTTTTTTTAGCGTGACGTAATACAGTTTGAAGACAGCCGAAAATTTGCTGTTTGTAGCCATTAATTGAAAATTACAGTGGCTTTCCAGCATGAAAAGAGCATTCTATTCTTCTTTCTTTTTTTTTCTTTTTTACAGATAGTTTTTTCTAACTTTGCTATTCCTTTACCACTGGCTGAGAAATTTTGAGGACTGGAAAAATTCTGTCAGGCAAATCCTGATCAAGAATTAAGGTATCTTAGAAGTGGAGTGAAATTTCTCCTCTTCGAAAGAAACCCAACTTTTCCAGTAAGTTTTTGTGTATCTTGAATATTGGCTAAGAAAAGCTTGAAAAATACGCTCTAGGCGTGATTCCTTGTGCATAGTTTGGAACTTTGTTTCATGTTCATAGACAACTTACTCCAGTTTTTGTGTTCTTTTGTAGATAAGTATACTTTCTAGTTTTGCTTAATTTTGTTGTTATCTTTTTCGTTGCGAGAGCTGAAAGCTTACGCTGTTTCGGCAGGGAAATGAAGTCGCCCAGCTGCATACCGAAGTTGAGAAAATTGTACATGAGTGATTGTTGAATGAGTTCTTTATAGCATAGCAATGGCAGCGTATATTTTTATTACTAGTCTTGCTTATTGTTTTCGTACGCCAAGTCACTGATTATTGCTAGAAGTGCAGATTTCAAATCTCATTTTAACAGTATTGTAGAAAAGATTCTTGTATTTATTTATTTTCCTGTATTTCAAAGAAAATGTTGTATTTATTTATTTTATTTACTTTAAAATATTTTTTTAAACGTTTACATTGTCTTTTTATTCCATTGACTTTAATTTCACGGTATGTGAGACCTTATTTACCTTGAACTATTCCTTTGTGCGCTTGAGAGAATCGTTTCTGTAAGGTAGAAGCGGTTCTCTTCCTTAAGATTTGAATTCTGACTTTTCGGTGCATTTTTAGTCAATTTTAAGATATTTAATCAAATTCGACATCTTTTGACACCCCTTTTTCTAGGGCTGTGCGAGTACTCGAATTTCGAGTCGAGTCGAGCCGAGTATCGAGTACTCGACTCGGCTCGAAAGTTAGGTTAGGTTCGAGCGAGTACTCGAACTCGGCTCGAGTATCAACAACACGAGTTTTTTCGAGTATTTCGAGTTTTTTTGAGCCGGAAACGCCGAAAGAGTCCAACTTCTAAATATTTCAATCATACTTAAACTATTGTTAGTTTTGCCATCATTTTACGATTGAATAACATCAGAGTCTCGTCGGCAAATTTATACCATCCGCAGCGCCAACACGCTGCCGCCCGGCGATTTCCTGCCGCCCGCGGTTTGTAACTACACTGAGTCATATGAGCGCATTTATGCGCGCGACAAATTTCAACCTGCGGCGGCGACCGCCGCTTGGAAAACTGAAAGTGAGCACGTGTTTTGGACCTTTTGCGCTCCAGAAAAACGGTGTCGCGGCGGCAGAAAATGGTGCTGCGGCTACAAAAATATGGATCGCGCGATTCCAAAAAACGTCGCGGCGACAACTGCCGCCGGCGACACGGCGACACGAATTGCGTGCATAAATGGGCTCTAAAGCCTTCACTTTTGCCGCCCGAAGTTCCTTTGATGTACCTACGCTGCGCCACGCCGCTTCTTGCCAAGTTTGGTCCCCTTTTCAAATTAAACCGCGGGAAGTTATTTTAACGCGTTACTGCCGAACATTTTGTAATTTTAGTGTAAATCCTTCCTAGTGTGTCATCGTCAATAATTATTAATATCATATTATGAGTCTTGTTTGGAATTATTTGTTGTAGAAAATAGATTAAATCACGTTTTAAAACTCGAAATTACTCGAACTCGACTCGAGCTCGACTCGGCTTGAGGCTCATTTTCAAAGCTCGAAAAAGCTCGAACTCGGCTCGACTTAGTGAAAAAATACTCGAACTCGGCTCGAATCCGAAAAACCAGGCTCGCACAGCCCTACCTTTTTCCTAAGTTTTGCAAAAATGACACCTCTGCATGCTTCAAGGCACTGCTCATGAGGCTTAAGTGTTTTCTGTCAGAAACTGAGGAACTCATTTCTTTTCTGAAGGAAACATGTAAGCTTTTTTGAAAAATCAATTTGATGGTTTCAAAGTATTTATTTTGAATGCACACTTGCATTTGCCATTTTTGAAGGCGCCACTTATTCTGCCGTACTAAGGAAGAACGCCATATGAACATTCGAGAGATGTCAAATTTTCTTCAATAAAATGTATATTTTTGCGGGAAAATGTGAAAATTTTTTCTTGAAATTTTCAGGGACTTAAGGTGAAATTACGAACAAAATTATCTGAAAAATTGCAATGAAAATATTCATAAGCTTTATGAAAGTAAATTTGGCAACGCCTGAAGGTTCATACGGCATTTTTCCTTAGCACGACAGTATTCTCCAGCTGATTACCCATCCGTTGTCTGATCAGAACCAATTCTAACATCGTAGATACTCTTGAGGGCTCGCTGTCTCTTGATTTGTGTACATCTTGTTAGTATAATGACGTGTAGGCGTATAATTGAATTGTTTAGTTCAAAAACGGCCTACCTNGGGGGGGGGGGGGGTGCTCAGGACATTTTGTCAACAATTTTTTGTCCATTGTTTATGGCCAACCTTTTTTGTCTAGTACCTAGTTTACGCCCAAAACTTCGTTGACTTGGTCCAAGCGTTATATTTTAATTGGTATGTAAAGTTATATTGACAATATGGAAATGAGAAATTGAGAGAGAAGGAGGTGTTGTTATGATTGCTCATTTTCTGAATGAAATGTTATTACTTTCTCCTTTTAAATCATCTTTTTAAATTGTCATTGGTGAATATCTGGTTTTATTTCTATCCTTAAAATATTGAATGTACAATATACCTTATATATGCATAGGTACTTTTTTTTATTTTTTTTATTTTTTCTTTACGAAATGATTACTTCATTTTGAAAACATTTATATTTTTAAATCGTGACAAATATTTGTAAAACCTTTTCCAAGCGACATTAATCTCAATGAGCCGCAGTTGTGCCGACAGAAACTGCAAACATGAATAAAAGAGGAAAAAAATTCCAAGAAGCACGCAATCTTTAGTTTTAACCCATTTATACATCGATCTTTTAGACTCAAATACGTCAAATTTTGAGCGTTTCGTTGCGCTTACACCTATCTGCAGCACAATAAAAGCACAAAATATAAAAGAAAAAATTAAAGTGCTTTGGAAATCATTAAATTTGACACGGAACCACCAATATTTCAAAAACGCACATTATGTTATTATTCTCCTTTGATAAATTGATACATATTTTTCCCTATCAATTTAAATGAGAATAATCAATGCAGAGTGTGCTAACATTTCAAAATCATGAGTTAAAAAACGCTGACTCTGCGAGTATAAATATTAAAGCCAAACAGAGCGGAGCGGCGCGGCGTGTTGCCAGCGTGAGAGGCTCACTGGCGCCTACAAACCTAAGTGGATACTTCACGCATTGCACAATGCTTGAAGTATCCACTTAGGTTTGTAGGCGCCAATGCGCTTTTCGCGCTGGCTGCCCGCCCGCCGTGCGGCGGCGCCTGAAGCAACTATTTCACAACAGAGGTGTTGCACAGTATTATACGAAATTGAACGTATTAAGAATGACAGGAATCCTTTAAAAGTACAGATCTTTCCTCGCAAAATAAATCAAGATACTTATCGTACACAGGAAAAATCTAAGAGCCTTTAGCTGAGGCAAATATAAAGGTTTATCCGGTTCATGTATAACAAGGTGGGAATTTCTTGAAAGATAATTAAGTCCTGTTACACCAAAGAGGTGTAGAGAGTTTTAGTGAATTTTGTCTCATGGAATTGACGCTCCCCCATTTTTACCAAAACTCTCAACTATATATTATTCTCCGTTGGACAAAACAAAAAAAACAAGCAAACCCTCATTCTTCCAAGACGTTATATATTTTTATCCAAAAACGTCGTGAGCAATTGTCGTTTGTATTTACATATGGGCCAATGTGTAAAGTAAGCACAATGTCTCTTGATCTGCACACGTCCGGGAAATGGCTTGTAGGTGCATAATTGAATTGTATAGTTTAGAAACGACGTAATTGTGAGGGGTGGGGAAGGCTGGAATAGAAAACTGTTCGAAGCCGACAGTTGTTGACGATTTGAAACACATAATTATGTAGGAACGTTTGTTGTTTGTTAATTAAAAGGGACTAGGTCAGGTAACAACTAAAAAGCAAGGGCCATCAAAGTTTTGCTTAGCAAACACACTTGCGTCTGACGTTTTTGAAGGCGCGACTTATGCTTTATCCGACTACTGATTGTCGGTTCTTAACTAATGCTAACATCATAGGAGCTCAAATATAGAATATACCTAAGCAGTTTCTCGATCTGTATGGCCCAGTGGCGTGACTTCTGAGTGCATAATTTAATTGTTTAGCTCAAAAACGACCTAACTCAAAAAGGAGCGGATTAAACAAGAAACTCATTGGAGCCAACAGTTTTTGAAGACTGAAGAAACGGCTCAGTTCGCTATATTTAGCAGTATAATGGCAGCCCAATAGCATGCGTGATTGCGTGTTCAATGACGATATTAAAAATCATAGTTTATCCCCTTACTCATGGCTTTTATCGTGAGAAAGCAGCATGCGCTGGGAGAGGTGGTTCAGAACTTACGCCCTTTTTCCATTGAAGCAGCCCTTCAAAATGCATTTTCGTAGAATCACTCGTATGGTAGATGCGTCTACCCATTAAGAATTGAGTCCTGACTAAAACTCAATTCATGAAAATTCGGCAGTTACACTCTTACTCGAATGGACAGCATTTTGCAATTGGGAGCAAAAATATCTGGCTCAGTTTACAAACGACGTATATGTACCATTAGTTTCCCTACGCACATGAGTGTTTTTACTGATGGGTAGATATTGAAGTACCCTCCTGATTAAAACATCCAGTCCGCTTAGGAACTACAATTTCTGGTTCGGTTTAGAAAGAACTAATGTACCATCGGTTTCCTTATGCACCACAATGGTCTTGAAGCAAAAAAAAAACGACAAAAATGTACGGTTTGCAGGGGGTGCATCTATGGTAGGTACGCATAGCCTTAAAATCGCGAAAAATCAAAATCTTGACTGATCCTACTTTCGAAATATCGAAATTTGAAATTAGGTAAGTGCAAATTTTCCACCGATTTTGATCCAGTTTTAATTCATTTGTCCATTGAATCGGTTTTGATCGGTCCGTGTCAGTCAATTCTCGTTTTTCGATTTTTCGTTCGATTCGTGTCGATTGGATGCATACCTTCTCGTTGCATGCAAACTTCTAATCATACTCGTTTTATACTGAAAAATTTGCCTTATGCTGCGTTTGCACCAATTGTTGTTACGACTAAGTCGTGTGTGCTGATTTCAGCTTATTACATACTTGACTCTCTGAAGGCGTTTCATATGCGAAAGCAATTCGCCTTCAGTTCCGTCTGCAGCAATTGTTGTTGCGAATATGTTGTGCGTGCTGATTTTAGGTCATTACATACTCGACTTTCTGAAGGCGTTTAATGTGCACAAGTAGCGCGATCTGTTGGAGAACAAACGAAGTCGGGTTTGAGCGATTCATTAAATCTCACTTCTGTTGTTCTCCAACAGGGTGCTCTTCTTTCGCGCACAAAGCGCCTTCAGAGAGTCAAGTATGTAAGGAGCTGTAATCAGTACGCAC